CCACCTCCATGAAGCCCCCTCCCTCACCAGCCCCCCCAGGTGATGAGAGACCCCCCGACAGCAGCCTCCAAACTTGGGGGGCTGGGGGGCAACCCCCCAACCCAACCAGCATCTCCCGGAGCCTCCACCTGCACCGCCAAGAGCGTGAAGCCTTCTTCACTCTGCTGGGTAAGAAAAAAGCCACAAAACCCCCCAAAATCCTGTAAAAATGGGGAAAAAAATATTTTTTCTTTATTAAAAACCCCAAAACTGGGAGTTTTTCCCCCAAAAATAAAGTTTTTACTAATAATTTTCTCTTCTCTTGAAGAAGACAACGTGGTGCAGGAGTTTCTCTCGACGGATGTGTGCTGCAGGGTTTCTGACAAGGTTAGTCTTTCAAAACCAGTTTAATTATTTAAAATAAAATTAAAAGTTACATTTTTTTACCTGAATTCATCTAATTTTTTCCTAAAATTGCTGGTTTTTCCCTCATTTCCCAGTACCTGTTGGCGATGGTGCTGATGTACTTCAAGCGCGCTGGCTTGTCCACCACCGAGTACACCCGGATCAACCTCTTCACCGCCCTGTATGTACCCCTAATTAACAAATTGGGGGGGCTCTAATGAAGAACTCCCCCTAATTAATGAAGCTGGGGCTCTAATGAAGGCTCAGCTCTAATGAGCGCTCTGGAGGAGCATCGTTAACGAAGCAAAACTCTAATTAAACACCATTAAAAGGGGGATAAACCCCCAATTCAAACCCTCACGAGGATCCTCAAACTCCCTCATTTTCTCCTCGTTTTACAATGTACTGAATTGCCCAAAATCGCCTGATTTCACCCCATTTTTGGGCCGCAGATACCTGGCGAATGACATGGAGGAGGATGAGGAGGAGCAGAAGTACCAGATCTTCCCCTGGGCTCTGGGCCGGCGCTGGCGGCGCCTCTTCCCCCGCTTCCTCCGGCGCCGTGACCGGCTCTGGGCCCGGATGAGTTACCGGGCGGCCGTCAGTCGGCATTGCTGTGAGGAGGTGGGTGCTAAAACACACCCCAAATCCTTCCATTTCACCCCAAAAAAACTCCTAATAAATAGAAACACCCACTTTTCCTCCTTCTCCCCCCAAAAAATCCCCAAAACATGATAAGAATCAAAAACCCCCCCATGAAATGGAGTTTTCACAGTGGCTTTGCCACCTGCTGCTGTTTTTTCTCCTGAAAATTCTCTAGTTTGGCTGAAAATTGGGGTTTTTTAGGTTTTTGGGGTTTTTTTTAAGGTGAATTCATGTGGTTTTGGGGTCAGGCAAATTGCACCCCCTGGTAAAAGGCTGGTGGGGGGCAGTGGATACCCCCCCTCTCCCC